TGCAGACCACTTTGGGGTGGAAAGAGGGAGATAACTGCAAACAAAGACCGCAAGGTGCATATAAATTCTGTTGGGCTACTCAAGTTACAGCTAGAGACTAGCAATGGCCACTGAGTGTTCAGGGAACCATGTTTGAAATAAAGCACTTGGCTTAAACAAGTTCATTTCCACCTCCCACCAAAGGCAAAAATCAATTTTGCTAATGACACTCTTCACACCTGTCAGTAGTCAATACTCATCACATTTGCCTAGTGCTAGGAAGCCTCTTTAGAAATCAAAGCATGTTGCTGAATAATTGCAGTAGCAAGTCCAGTGCAGTTGACCCAGTAATGAAATGTACACCTACTCATGGAACACCCAGTATTTCCTAGAACTAGCAATGACCCCTGGCCAAGTTGTTTCATAATAGCTACAATATTGGTATGTGCCATGTGTAAAATTGCCCAGGTATGTCCAAGCCACAAAAAAAAAGGACAAATTCAATTATTGCCCTATTATCGAACCCCATCACAAGATATAATAGCAGCTCAAAAGCATTATCAATCAGCACCTGATCAACAATAGCTGACTGACTGAGCTCAGTGTGAATGTGGGTGTGGTGCAGCCACTTTGCTTCAGACTTACTTATTGCCCTGGTTACAAAAGTAAAAAAAAAAAAGACACCGGTACTTTCCACTGGTTTATGTCATTCCTAGCGCAAAAGGATGATGGTTTGTGGCTGGAGGTTAATCATCTTAAAGTGCAGCAGAACAAGAGTTCTTCAGGAAGGTATTTTCTAAATCAAATTTGTCCGGAGACATTATTACACACTTCTGAAATAGGGGAGGCTTGAACCCATGCCTTCTGGCTCAAAAAAGGTAGACACTACTACTATGCCAAAGAGCCCCAGCTCTGCAGCCTTGTGGCCTCGGCACAAATCATCTGCAGCTGCTTCAACGACCTTGCCACTGTAAGTTAGGCTGTGGGAAGATGTGATCATTGCACAGTTTTCAGCACCATTCACAATGGCACAGAACTGGGTTACCTCATGCTCTTATATGGAAGACCTGGATCACATCAAGATTTGGACCAAAATACCAGTCAAATGATTTCTCAATACAAAACTTTAAACTTAGCCCATGATATTCAATGGCATTACCATCAGCAAATCTCTTTAACACATACTGGGTGTTATCATTGACCAGAAAATGAACTAGACTAATTGTAAATGCAGCTGCAAGAACAGGTCAGCGACTAGGAATCCTACAGCAAGCAAATCAACTCCCCAAGGCTGTCGATTATCTACGAGGCACATCAAGAACATCAGGCATACAGTGTAAACAGACACTTCAGTCCAACTCGTCTACACCAACCAGATATCCCGAACTACACTCATGCCACTTGCCTGCATTTAGCCCGTATCCCTCTTCGATCTTTCCTGGTCAGTGTACTACCCAAATGTTTTTGAAATGCTGTTCCTGTACCTGCATGCACCACTTCCTCTGGCAGTTCATTCCACATACAAACCACCGTCTGGAAAAAGAAAAAAAATTGGCCGTCCAGTCCCTTTTAAATCAATCATTCTTCTCGCATTGAAAATATGCCCTCTAGTTTTGAATTCCCCCAACCTAGGGAAAAGACCTTTGTTAATCACCTTATCTATGCCCCTCATGATTTGATAAACCTCTAATGTCACCTCTCAACCTCCTATGCTCGAAGGAAAAAGGTCCTCGCCTAAACAACTTCTCATTATAACTCGTCACACACCAGACCTGGCAACAACTGGTTAAATTTTTTTCCTGCACCCTTTCCAATTTAATATTCTTCCGTGAGCAGGACAACCAGAATTGTACACAGTACTCCAGAAGTGGCCCGACAAAAGTTCCTGTACAATCTCACCATGACATCCCAACTCATATACTCTGAGCAATGAAGGCAAGCATATTAGAATATCTTCACAACCCTGTCTACAGGTGATGCAACTTTCAAAGAACTATGTGCCTGAACCCCTCGGTCTCTATTCTACAACATTACCCAAGACCCTATCATTAACTGCACACATGCTGCCCTTAATTGCTTTACCAAAATGCAATGCCCTCATTTATCCAAAGTAAACTCCACCTGCCTGTACTCAGCCCATTGGCCAAATTGATCAAGATCCCTTTGTAATCTTATAGATAATCTTCTTCACTATCCACTTATACCTCCAATTTTGATGTCACCTGCAAACTTATTAACCATGTCTCCAAAATTCTCATCCAAATCATTTATATAAAATAGCAAACAGTAGACCCAGCTCCAATTCCTGTGGGATACTGCTGGTCTGAAAAACAACCCTTCACCACATCTCCTACCATCAAGTCAACTTTGTATCCAATTGACAAGCTCTCCCTGAATCGCATGTGATCTAACTTTACTAATCAGTCTACCTTGCAGAACCTTGTCAAAAGGTTTTCCTGAAGTCCATGTAGGCAATGTCTGCTGCCGTACACCCAATCTTTTTGGTTATGTTCTCAAACCTCACGTCAGCGAGACATGATTTCCCATGCACAAAGCCATGCCAACTGTCCATAATTAGCTCTTGCCTCTCCAAATACACAAACTCCGTCTCAGAATTCCCTCCAACAACTTACCCACGACTGATGTCAGACACATGTTTATAGTTCCCAGGCTTCTCCTTACAGCCTTTAACACAAAGGCACAAGATTAGCCACCACCAGTCCTCCAGCACCTCACTCCTATTGATAGGGAATCTCTCGACTGGAGTCCCGCAACTTCTTTCTGAATTTCCTGCAACGTCCTGGGATACCTTTCATCACATCCTGGAGATCCACTTTTTACTGTTTTCTTTTAAAAAAAGAAAAAAAAAAGAGAGAGAGAATCTGCTGCACCTCTTCTTCTGTAAGATGGACTGTTTAAAGAGATCACTAATTATTTTCTGAATTCCCCAGCTTTCATGTCTTTTGTCAGTATTTACTTACAAAATTAGTTTCTCACGCATCTCCCGTGTTCCACACAGATGATGTCGATTTTTGAGGGGCCCTGTTCTCTCTAGTTGCTCTCATACTCCGAATATCCTGTAGACTCACTTTGGATTATCCTTAATTTTGTGTGTCAAGGGCATCTCTTATCGTTTTTGCCCCTCTGATTTCCCTCTTCAAATATCAGTGCACTCCTTATATTCGTCACAGGATTCCAGAGCCTGAATATCTTTATATATCCATTGTTCCCTATTTTTAGCAGCCTTCCTCTTTAGCGAGGAGTAACATAATGCCTCCGAACTCAGATTAGGTCATAAACAAAAGAGACAGAAATTGCTGTAAAAGCTCAGCAAGTCTAACAGCATCTGTGGAGAGAAATCAGAGAGTTAACGTTTCAGGTTGAGTGATCCTTCCTCAGAACAGATGAAGGGTCATTCTACCCAAAACGTTAACTTCGATTTCTCTCCACAGATGCTCCCAGACCTGCCGAGCTTTTACAGCAATTCCTGTTTTTTGCTTCCAATTTATAGCATCCACAGTTCTTTTGGTTCTTGTCAGCTCACTTTTGAGAGCCTCCCATTTGCCAGTCATCCCTTTACCTGCAAACAGACTGCCTCAATCAACTTTTGGAAATTACAGCCTCACGGTCTAAATTGGCCTTATTCCAATTAAGAACTTGAACTTTTATACATGGCCTCTTTTTCCGTCACTATTTTAAAACTAATAAAATTATGATCACTGGTCCCAAAGTGCTCGCCCACTAACAACTCAGTCGCTTGTCCCACCTTATTTCCCAAGAGATCAAGTTTTGCTCCTTCTCTAGTCGATGCATCTAGATGCTGATAAGTGTTAAAGAAAATTTTCTTGAACAAATTCCTCCCCATTTAAGCCCTTAACACTATGGCAGTCCCAGTCAATGTTACTCTCCATTTGCCTGGATGAGTCCAGCTCTAACAACACTCCAGAAGCTTGACACCATCCAAGACAAAGCAGCCCACTCTACCATCTCATCACTGATGCCAGTCAAATGTGTACCATTTGCAAGATGCACTGTGGCATCTCACCACAGTTTCTCTAACTGTATATTCCACAAATATACAATCTCTACCCTTTGCGATAAGGGCAGCAGATGCCTGGGAACTCAGCATCTACAAGTTATCTTCCAAGCCACACTGACAGGAACAGTTACTATTCCTTTACTGTTGTTGGATCATTGCCCTGGACTCACCTCTCTAACAGCAGCCAAAAGGACTGCAGTAGTTCAGAGAGATAGCTCACCATCAACAAGGGCAATTAGAGATAGGTAACAATTACCAAGTAAGCCTCTCATGTTTAGAATGATTTCAGCTAATTTCTTGCATAGAGCCTATGCAAAATGATTACAGAAAGAACCATGCCACTGCACCACCTGAAGATGCAAATAAACCCCCAAATCTGTATGTGGTTCATTTGCTGTCAGGACCATGATTTTTTCATAACCCATGCAACTTCAATGGCTTACTCCACTTCAAATTGCTCATCACCCCCATTTGTAATTAAATTTTTGTTGTCAAAAAAAAAAAAATGTTGCTCATTTCTGAACATAGCTTGATGACAGTCTATTTGACCTTTACTGTGGCACTGGTTGAAAATAATTTTAATTTTCAGAATAACAAACATTAAGTTATACACAGACCCTGCAGCAACTTGCAAAGTTCCACAAACAGTCAGATCATTTACACACTTCAAAAATGCTGTCTGAAGCAGCAGATAGGGGTTTGTAAAATAGGCAAGCATTAACATCCCAACCAACAATGTAAAACCTGAGTAAGAGCCCCAAAACTGATCATAAATCAGACAATATCTCTACAAGGCTAAAAGGTGACCAAGAAAACTACTGTTTCAAAAGGGTAGACGATGAAACCGTGTTCCTATCATAGAAACTAAACAGCAGAATCAGTTGAGAGTTATAAGTCCAAAGGTTGAATGCTACGTCCATTTACAAAACAGGATGAAATACAAAAAAAACCATGAATTTTAGTCAATTAAAAACACATTATGTATCCTTCTCCATTTAATAAAGTAGAAAATGCAAACAGTTACACAAGAGCAGAAATTTTCTAAAAAACGTGCTAGTTAAGTTTGTCTTCAATTATTGTAGAGTTGAACAAAGCATCAGCCAAATCAGGGCAAGTGCTGCAAAAAAAATGCGACTGGCATGGACTCTAATCGTCAATGGCTGATGGAATTCACAGTTGAAGAAGATGTTCAAGGAAACTTGACCTACTTGGGCCATCATGATCGCATGTTGGGCATCTCCATAAACTTCAGTTATAAATAAAATTAAACCTAGAATGCAAATGAAAAATGTTTCAGATACATTGAAATTGCATGCAAAGAATTTTCTTTTCTTGAAGTATGAACAACTTAAAGAATAAACCCATGTGTGTTTTTAAACTGATTCTAAAGTCTTGGAAGTTGCCTGACTGCAAGCTCTGTAAAAGCCAACCTGACTTGAAATGGAAACCTGAAATCAGCTATACTGCTTACAGGAATGGTTTTAAACTTTGACAAGAAAGAAGTTTAAAGGGTAGCAAAATACTTTGATTTTGGAAATTGGAAACATACGCAGAATGCTGTAACTCTTTAAATATGTCAAAACTCAAGAGGTTACTGTTTCTCTCCATAGATACGACCAGACCTGCTGAAATTTCTCCAGCACTTGTTTGTCACAAGTTTTAAAAATGTTTTCCATTTGCACAAGAAATGGACGGTTAAAGGTTGACGACTTGCTCGCCAAGCTGGCTTGTTTTCGTTCAGACATTTCGTCACATGCTAGGTGACATAATCAGTGAGGCTGCCAACGAAGCGATGTTGTTCTACTCCATTTGGAATTTATACTATCCAGTCCGTTGTGGCGATAAGTGTCATTTCTGGTTGGTATCTGGGGTCCAATTCGATATGTTGGTTGATTGAAGTATGGATGGAGAACCATGCCTCTGAGAATTCCCACGTGTGGCTATGTTTGGCTTGGGATACTATGGTTACATTGTCCCAGTTAAACAAATGGCCTTTATTTGTCCAACTGTACTGATATTAATGAACGTTTTTCGTGTCATTTTGCTGCTAGCTGACATTCATTTATTCGGATGGTGAGTTTCCTTCCTGTCCGTCAGATGTAATGTTTGTGGCAGTCGTTGCATCATATTTTGCAAACCAAGTTGGCTCCACGTGTTGTGGGAATGGCGTCTTAAATTCGAGTGTTTTTCGTAGAATGGACGTGGGCATGTGGGCCACCGTGATTCCTAGTGGTCTTAGGTACAGTTGTACCTATACAAAATCTCCGCTATGAACGGATATCCCTGCAACTTCATCCGCAGATGCCTACTAAACAGACAATAACAGGAGGGCACAGTATGCCTTAACATGTTGGCCACACTGTCCTACATCCAGAACCGACAAGGAGACTCCTAATACAGCTAGGAATCACGGTAGCCCACATGTCCATGGCCATTCTACGACAAACAAACACTCAAGGATTAAAGACCCCATTCCCACAACATGCAGAACCAACTTGGTTTGCAAAATATCATGCAACAACTGCCACAAACATTACATTGGACAGACAGGAAGGAAACTAGTCGCCAGAATACATGAATGTCAGCTAGCAGCTAAATGACATGATGAATGTTCCTTAATATCAGTATACTCGGACAACGAAGGCCATCAGTTTAACTGGGACAATGTAACCACAGTAGCGCAAGCCAAACATGGACACGCACAGGAATTCCTAGAGGCATGGTTCTCCACCCATACTTCAAAATCAACAAACAAATGGAATTGGACCCCATATACAAACCCATACAGATCAAAACCAGAAATGACACTACTTGCCACAACGGACCAGACAGTATAAATTCCAAGTGGAGTAGAACAACATTGCTTTAGAGGCCTCACTGATGTCGTCACCTGGCATCGTGACGAAACGTTTGAACACTAACAAACCAGCTCTGCGAGCAAGTCAGCAACCTCATCCACAACCCAAGTTACAAATCTTTGTTAAAACTTTATGTGGTTATTAAGTTGTAAAAAGGAGATTTCTGTGGTCAAATAGACAAACTGGAACGTGGTGCTTACAATGTTCCAGGAAAGCCTCCCTCCAAACCTCCGCCCAACTTTTATTGCTAAAATGTGCAAGTCAATGTAGACAAAATTCATGACTAGCACATCAGTTAAAACCATTTCTATAAAAAGTTGCTTTCGACTTTTCCCTAATGCAAAATCTGTCCTGATGCCCTTTCCCAGGGTGTACCCAACTATGAGTTTTAAGCAATCTGTAGATCTCAAACAGCAACATGTCCACCAATTCTATTCTTCATACCTGCTCAAAAGCTGAGGAAGACTGGAGATGATGGGTCCATAACCTGGTGCATTGTCATAAAGCTCAAATAATGGTGCAGCAACCAATTTGTAATTCTTTGGTACTGCAAACAGGGCTGTAAATCAAAACAGATTATTAAAAACCACCAAAACCAAAGCATGTGTCACAAGTATAGTTACTGCATATTTATTAAAAAATAGTAAAGACAGCAGCCCAAGACTTGCAGGAAAGCAAGTTAATATGTGCTGTGCATGATCAAGCCAATTCAGTCAAACTGACGACACCCCTTAACTTGCTGTACCTGTGCAATAAACCCCACTGCTGGAAGCTTGAGCTTAGTTTAAAAGCTCTTTTTTTTTTTTCTTTATTCATTCACAGGATGAGGGCATCACTAGCTAGGTGGCGTTTATTCCCTGTCCCTAATTGCCCAGAGGGCAATTAAGAGTCAACCACATTGCGGGTCTGGAGTCACATGTAGGCCAGACCAGGTAAGGATTGCAGTTTCCTTCCCTAAAGGACATTAGTGAACCAGATGGGTTTTTCCAACAATCGACAATGGATTCATGGTCATCATTAGATTCTTAATTCCAGATATTTATTGAATTCAAATTCCACCATCTGTCATGGTGGGATTCGAACCTGGGTCCCCAGAACATCAGAGACAACAAGGTGCAGAGCTGGATGAACACAGCAGGCTAAGCAGCATCATAGGAGCAGAAAGGCTTACGTTTCGGGCCTAGACCCTTCATCTGGGTCTCTGGATTAATATTCCAGCGATAATACCACTAAGCCATTGCCTCCCTGGATGCACATTATATTCTTATGTTAAAATACTGCAACATGAATCAACTATTCCAGCTCACAGGAAGGATTTAAATTAGCATGCATTATTCTTGCTTGGAGTAAATTCAAAATTTGAGTTCCTTTGCTTTGTCTCATTCCAATTTTATTTTCCTTTCTGCGCTCAATTCAAATTTAATTCATCCCTCAAATTCACTTCTTCTCATCATTCCTGTTTCTTTCACCAATGAGATTTAGTTTTATGAATGACGGGACTAAAGCCCAAAACTAGCTCACACTTCCAGCAACTGACAAGCCACGAAGTTTGTGTTGGTCTGCCAAAAGTGAAAAAACTACACAAGCATGGCCTCTACCATTTGGGTTAAGAAATAATTGAACTGTAACCTAAGCTACCATGTTGGTCTGTTAAGAGATTGCACTAATGACTCAATTTTAATTGTATCCCTTCCTGAAAGTTCTCCACAGATAAATCTTAGTAGTTTTGCTTTGGAAACTGGATATACAAATGTTCCAAAACTCAAGGCAGCCATACATCTGGCGGACACAAAAATAGCCAAATCCCATATTTAATTGATGCTGAGCCATTTGAACCCAGCCAAGGCAGCATTCTTGGGGTAGGTAACAGTTAGAAGTAACCAGGATTTCACCACTGCCAGCACAGAAACCTTTTGGAGAGAAGCAAGAAGAGAATTTGCTTTGGCTGCAATGTTCACAAATCAGTCTGCAGGTAATCACAGCCATCAAGTGACGACTACTTAGTGAGTCAGAGCAGCTGTAAAACATTACCAGGGCTAAGGGGTTGAGAGAGATCAAGTGTCAGAAAGACATCATGATTTATTGATTTGATGGCATTTAATGGGGCAGATAGGAAGGTGGATCCTGATAGCAGACGACGTCACATTGACAATATCAGCAAGGACTCACTGGCAGAATCCTTCAGTCAGAAGTTCAAGTTCAAATAAGTTTCCAAATAACCTACAAATATAACCAATACCGAATTCATTGCAATACTGAGGCAGCACTGCATCAGAAAATGCCATTTTACAAATAAGTGATTTGATCAAACACTCAGGGGCTTGGTCAAAGATCAAGGGATTATTTGATCAATAGCACAGGACTTTAAGTATCATGGCTAACAGTCCTTTACAACCAGTGACATTAAAAGACATTTATTGCACAGCTATGTCTGCTGAACAGCAGTGTTTGAATTATTAATTCACTTTAAATGCTTGGAGGTGATGAATGTTACTTTGTTGATCATTTAGATCTTATATTAATATTTTCATCTGAAGTACACCTTCAAGCTACCAGACAGCATGTGGGTGCAATCACACATTCTGTCTCATGATTTACCTTTCTCTTGAAGTTGCACTAAAAACAGCTTCTTATGCTCTTTGGGTTTGGTGATGTGAGCCGGAATGTAGGGATACTGCAGGAAATGGAAAAACAATGTTAAGGACGGTACACATGTAGGTAATGCTCGAGATTTCTTGCATTAGAGAAAGGTTCACAGATAATTCATGAGTGCTGAACCATATGATCCATTAATTACAGGACAAATGAACAAATACTTTCTATTAGTAGAAGATAAAGTAATATTACACACAGCCCCTCAACTCAAAGCTGTTTGACTAATCATGTCTCCCCCAATCTGGTTTGTACCAAAAGCTCCAAGGTGTTTAAAAAAAAATGCATCATCATTTTACAATGTCAGGAATCACAGAACTGCTCTCAACAATTTAGTTCCACTCAACACTGAAGGGTGAAATCACTGTCATATTATAGGTATTTTTTTCCACAAGGTATGTTGCTACCGTATGTGTGAATGGCATCCAAAACAAAATCCCTTATTGGTTCAACTGAAAGTGTGGTCTCCTAGAACAAGCATGCAGGAAATTGAATATCAGAACTAGAGTAGAAAAAGTAGTTTAAATAGTCAACTTATTTGCTCAAGGAGCCGAGGTTCATGCCTGTTCTTTGCCAAATACCTCAGAGGGCAGCCATAGTCATAGTCCTTGGTTCCAAGAGCCTGCATGCAGAGTGGGTATTAATTACCTTGACAGCTCTACACCAAAATCACTGCAAACCCAAAGTGTCCCAAGAAAATGCGCAGGGAGACAATGGAAAAATGAACATGTTGAGTGATAAACAAAGAGCCGCAGGTGAAAATGACTCCGTAGAGAGAAACCATTATTAGCTGGCATGTTGTCTCTCGAATGCAGATATAAAACTTGCATTATAAAGGCTCTGGGTCAAGGTGGACCTGGCAAAAACCACAGTAGAAACTCTTAAAATCAGCAGGTAAAATGATAAACAATATGAACAAAGACAACCACCCCAGGACGGGATTGGAATAATTGTGCTATTTTCCTTTTTGTGGTTAGGGAAAGGTTGGTGGTTGCATTGAAAACTCATGACAAGAGTACATCAGTGCAGGATAGGATCAAGTACTAATCCACAATAAAAATGCATACAATTTAAAATGTTTTCAAAACATTGTTAAAAGACACTATTGGAAGTTTGCCAGTTGTTTATGCCTCTGCATCATACTGATTCAATTGCCTCAGCTATTGAGAATCAGTTGTGCAAGTGAATGGGAAAGTGTAAAAGACCACATTCCTTTCTTAAAAAAAAAGTGAGTCTGATTTTTAATGTTAAGAGGAACACATGGAACTCAACCAGTTCAGTTAACTAGTGTTTACTGCAAAAGAAAAAGAATGTCCACTGTTCCTGTCACATACAACCAGTTAAACTCAAGTGAGGCTAGAAAGCTCAAAAATAAACTCATTTTGGTTGCATATCTCAAGAAGCCAGGAAATAGCACAAGCTGATATACCCAATGCTTCCTGCCACATCTCAATGCAAATGCCTTGTCGTGATTTAAAGATGATTTTACAGCTTTTAGTATTATCCCAGGTATGCTAAAATTCTGCACTCACCTGGGGGGGCTCAAAGTTGGGTCTCCACCAGTTGCCAATGCAGTCATCGATTACCCAGTCTTGCTGGACACCATCTTGGCGACCCAAGATCTGTGGAAATACAGTTCAATGTACTTTCACATCTCCCCAACCTCAGATTCTCCTTGCATCAAATTACAATTTTCATTTTAGGCCACTCGAAGTGGTTTTATTGGGTGCTTTCACTTGAAAGTCTGCCATTTTCTCTCCCAGAAAAATTAACAACAGTTATAGAGTTAACACATCCATTCTTTGTTCTACAAATCTTCTTTTTGTACTTCTACTTCCATTTTACTATTTCTCCACTCATGAGCAAAAAAAAGTGTGAAACAACATTTTTACCAAACAGCACACATTAGGTTGGAAACAATGTTTCACAGTAGAAGATACAAGGTTCTCATGCAGACAGCAAATTTCCACAAGCGTACAAGAGTCTAAATCTGAAATTTAGGTAATGAGCCACTCAAAGTAGTACAATAAGCAGACAAAACATTATTCAGGTCTCATTTAATCTTCTGACTGAAGTTCAATACCAGACAGAAAACCTAGTCAGGCACTAACCAGATACTTCAGTACATGCACCACTCAACACATGGAATATATCCAAGTAAGCACAGGTTCTGTACCTCTGTCATTAGACGCTTCAGACCCTCAACCTCATCTTCTCCAGGGTTCAGCTCGCCACCAGGTCTAAAACCCACAAAACAAAACAAGATGGAATTACCATTGTAAATTTAAACAAACAACAAAAACGGGGAGGTTGATAAACTACTTTCCCACTTCAAAAAGCAGTCATGAAAACCATCCTTACATCAGGTTACATTTGTAATTTGGGAATGCAGAACAAGCTTTACAACTACACATTAATTTTCATTCATTGGTGTTAATTTGCATAATTTCTCCTTAAGGGGAAAGGCAAATAGAAGAGAAAACATTCAAGAAAAAGACACACACCATTTCCTCCCTAATTTTTTTTTTTTTTTTAGGTATCCAAAGCACATGATCAAGCTGAAAGACACGTGCCTCAGCTAGGAGTATTTTCCTCAAATGGAAACCTGAAAAATATCCACTCAATGAGGCAGATCTATGCCTCGTTTCAATTTTGGTTTAAATAGTGTATTCTCTCCCACACCGGGAGATGTGCATTCTGGTTGTGAATTCTCCTGCCAGAAAGTTGATAGCCAATTCGATTCAGTTGGGCTTTTTAAAAAAAAAAAAAAAAAAAAAATCAGACAACAGGTTAAAATTAGTTTGCTCACAACCCTTGGTGGCATATAATGCATAAATCCCCTAAGAGGAACAGTTACAGTAAATTCCACCTGCACCATTTGGAAACACTCTACAATGTACAGTCATAATGAGCATAACCCATCACACTCAGCAGGTTAGTCAGCATCTGTGATGAGGTATCAGATTGTTTCTGGCATTAACCCAGTTGATGAAGTGTCCAACAAAAATCAAAAATGGTGACTGACCTGCTTAGTTTTTATTTTAAAAATTGGGAATAAAGTAGCTGCCTCCAACACTCCAAGTTTTGACACCTAATAGATTACTGGCTATTCTTAGTATTGCTTACCCATATGTTCATCACCAGGCATCAATTGTGAAACCTTCGTCTAACTCTGGATTCTTGTGCAAATTCCCACAGAGTATTTCAGACCACCATTACTGGCTGTGCCTGTGACAGTCTAGGCCTCAAGTTTCAATTTCTTTCCTAAAACATTTACCATTCAACTGTAGTTTAAGTGGCTCCTCACAGCTGCTCTCCCTGACCAAATCTTCTATGGCTCTGGTAAATGTTACCATATTGAGATCCTGTATTAGGTTACTTTCCTAAATTAGTGAAACAGTTTAATAAGCTGTTTGAAACCTTTTAGTCAGTATTTATCCCTATGACCTATGGCAAGATCACATTTTTCCTTTTTAAAAGTTGCTAATTACTGTCCACACTTACAGTTTGAAGAAGGTTGTCCCCAGCTGTAATAGCAATACGTGTGGAAGTCTGTGCTCATGCACAATCAGAACACCTTCTACAGTGCGCCGCATACCAATTTTCTCGAACTCCTCCCGCATGCGCTGAAATCGGGCTGCCACAGAGCAGTCCTTCTCATACAAAGGCTCTTTGGTACCAAAGGTGTAGTTAGTCAGTGGATACCTGCAGAAAGATTTCCCGTAATAGTTATATGACAATGAAAGTGTAATTACCATTTGCTTGGTGACAAATTCAAGAAATAACTGTACTAACACTAAATGAATGAACCTAGATTCAGCACAGGTTTGAAGCCTGCCACAGCATACATTGGAATTTGCATTTAATAATTATCCGGATTTAAGAATTTAAAGACGACTATGAAACAATTGCTGAGGGTTGGAAATAAATAACAGGCTCATTATTGTCCTTCAAGAAAGGAAATTTGCCACCCTCAACTAATCTGGCCTACATGTGACTCAAGCCCCACAGAAATATGGTTCACTCAACTACCTTCTGAAATGGCCTAGCAAGCCATAAAGTCTGCCTACAGCACATGGGCTGCAGCTCACCACTTTTGAGAAAGGCAACTAGGGCCAAGCGATAAATGCTGGCCAGCCAGTGAGGTCCATCTGAATAAAAAAAACGTTGAGCCAGCCTAGATTATTCTGGGAGGAAGGCTATTTACAAATCAGAATGACATACCAACTCCTTACTGATATTAACATCTACTCAATGGAAATTCAGCAATGCGATCTGAACTATTCCACTCATGCAGAACAAACTCAGATAAAAGATTGCAAGTCAGATACATAAAATTTCTGATTTGACTGAGCTCCCATTATTAGATGTGACTCTGCCCTTACACATTAAATAATTGCCCATTAAATAATTCAGAATCTAAAACGAATTACACATGAAACAAGTGTAAGGTCAGACTCCGTAAAATAGATTTACACGTGTAGGAGCTACATGTTAATACAAAGGACTCAGGTAATATGATCTCTCACACACTCCTTTTTATTTAGGAAAAGTCATGGCGATTGCTCATCTCTGCTGCATTTCCATGGCAACACCTTGAATAGAGTCCATTGGCCTAGTTTGATAACCAAGACTGACAGTTAACTGTTGTTGCATTATCTCCAGGCCAACTGATGGCAGGAAAGGAGAACCAGTATCCTCTTCAAAGCATTGCAGACGTCAGTGTCCGGCATTCTAGTCCAGGCCTGACATATGCAAGACAGAAACTTGGACTTCCTAGTCTCCTTTCATCAATACACTCAGCAGTTTTTATTACCATGGAGGCCGACACAACAACAAGAAGCAGGAGTAAGCAATTCGGCCCCTGAAATCAGCTCCAGCATTGAAATAGGACATGGCTGATCTCAACTGTGCCTCAGTTCCCGTTTCCTGTATGTTCCATATAATCTTTCAATCTATTAATAAATTATAAATCTGTCTACCTCCATACTTATTCAGTGCCCTGGGGTCCACCACACTCTAGGGGTAGTAAATTCTGCAGATTTACAACCTTTTAGACAAGTAATGCCTTTCATCTGTTTTAAATCTACCATCCCTTAGCCTAAAACCATGACCTGTCACTCTAGATTTTCCCATGTGGAGCAAGGTCTGTTCTACATTTACTTTGAGATATAAAATGCTAAAGGGGATTCACAATTAGACCGCCTCATTTTTAAACTCTACTAAGCTTAGACCTAAACTGTCTCAATCTCAGACGTTGTTGACTTGCTCGCCGAGCTGGCTTGTTTTTGTTCAGATGTTTCGTCACTATGCTTGGTGACATCAGTGGAGCCTCCGATGAAGCGATGTTATTCTACTCTGCTTGGAATTTATACCGTCCAGTCCATTATGATAAGTACTGTCATTTCTAGTTTTGATCTGTATGGGTTCGTATATGGGGTCCAATTGTATACGTTTATTGATTGAAGTATGGGTGGAGAACCATGCCTCTAGGAATTCCCATGTCTCAATTTTTCTTCACACAAGAAATCCCTCATCTCTGGAATCAAATCTAAATGAACTCCTCTGAACTGCTTCCAATGCACATATATATCTCAAGTAGGGGGTGGGACAAAACTACTCAATACTCCACGTGAAGTCTCAACAATGCTGCAACTGCACGAGGCAACACTTCCTACCTTTTATGATCTATTCCTTTAACAATAAGTACCAAAACTCCATTTGCCTTCCTTATTACCTTTGGTACACACATGCTGTGATTCGCGTACAAGGTCACTCAGATCTCATGCACCAAAGCATGCTAGATTTCTCTCCATTTAGATACTAAGTTGCCTTTCTATTATTGCAAACAAAATGGATAACTTCACACTGAGGTAAAGAAAACACAATAGCAGCTCATGATGCATGGTACATTACAAAGCCTCTTCCTCTACTCTTACCGTTTCCCATATCTCAAAGTACAGTATCCAGCTGTAGAAACTGACATTTCAAAAGCACCCAACATGATTTAATATAAATTCTGCACTTCATTCTGCACAACAGCAATATATTTAAACAGAGGCTGACATCAGTGCCCCAGCTAAGGTCAAAGTCACAGTCACTGGAAGAAGAATGTTATCACATCAGTATCAACAGATTAGTTAGACTGCAATCATTTAGATATTGGCAGGAAGGAGAGGTAATATTTTGTCATCATTCAAAAATGGTTATTCACTCAAAGGGTTATGGCATGAGATCAAGAGCCCCCACAGAAATTCAGCTAGTGACAAGTACAAATTGCTGCTTGGTTGCAACGTCATTCATGGGCACGAACTTCCAACAGCCACAAATGAATAAGCGTTTGGGCAAGATATTAAATAAGTGGTCGTGCATGCACTTCCAGTTAGTGTGCTATTGATCAAAAGCTTAATAGACTAGCCACATAAATACAGCAGCTGTAAGAGCAGGTCCAAGGTTTCTCACAGCCTGTTCACCATCTATAAGTCAGAGTGTAATGGAATTTTTTAAAAAATTTGTTGTTAACAGGATGAGGGTGTCATAGGCTAGGCAGCATTTATTGCCCATCCCTAATTGCCCAGAGGGCAGTTCAGAGTCAACTACATTGCTGTGGGTCTGGAGTCACATGTAGGCCAGACCAGATAAGGATGGCATGGCAGTTTCCTTCCCTAAAGGACATTGGTGAATCAGATGGGTTTTTCTAACAATTGACAATGGATTCATGGTCATCACAAGATTCTCAATTCCAGATATTTCATTGAATTCAAATTCCACCATCTGCCATGGTGGGATTTGAACCCGGATCTCCAGAATGTTATCTGGGTCTCCGAATTAACAGTCCAGCAAAAGTACCACTAGGCTATCACCTCCCCTTGTTCCACTTGCCTGGAATGAACAAAACTTCAATATGAAAGCAGCTAGCCATCATCTGAGATGGCACGGATCACTTACTTGGCACCTATCAGATGCAATGGTAGCAATGCATCCTTTGACTAAATCTTCAGAACCACTTCTACCACCTGGGAGAACCAGGGCAAAGGATCACTTCTACGAGCAAAGTCTCACACCATCCTGACCTCAAGAGTAGGATAATAGGTCAGCACAACATGGTGGGCCAAAGGGCCTGTACTGTGCTGTACTATTCTATGTTCGAAACTAACACACAGCTTCTTCACTACCACTGCATGCAAAACTGAGAACTCCTATCCAAATAGCACTGTCTCAAAAAGAAAAAAAAAAGTTTTACAAACATTCAAGGCAGTGGCTAAATCTCAAGAAGAAAGGTTACACACTTGAAAATTCAAATTAACAGTGCTGATTAACCTACAAATGCCCAACTTTAGTTTATCGTAACAGTTTAATGTCTTCAGTGCCTGTGGCTTGATTTGCATATACTCCCTCATTTACTGTTTTACAGTAGACTTAGGTACCCAGTAGACAATTTAATGCCATAATCTAGGAAACCTGTGAGTACCAAAGACACCACAGAAATAGGTGATATTAACAAAGCTCAAATATTCCACTACAGCTGCTTGACTAGACTACATCAAGAATACACTTTACCACTTTACACTATAAAGAACAAATCAGCTTCACCGGAACAAGTAAATTGGCCTCTAGGCCAGAGATATTATCTGACATTTCTTTTTTCATATTTTTGTTTTTACTCAAGAATTCTAAATTAGTTGCAAAGTTCATAGATAAATTTGAAACAATCCTCTGAAACACTGCCATTTCACACGCCATTGTGTGAGTAATTTCCACTCGTTTCACTGCTATCCAATTACTTTACTGGAGTAAGTCCAATAAACTATTTCCATTCGTTAACTTTCAAATTACTAGGCTGAAGACACATGGCTAGATACAAACAAATAATTCACGAGATCAGACAACTACAGAAACCGGTTCATGTCAGACAGACTTAAAATGAACAAAATCTCAATATTAACTCTGTACTTGAACGCTGGAACACCCCAAAAAAGAATGAAACTGCGGGGACCTGAAGCGAACATCCAGGACCAACCTCAACACATTATAACGATAGAGATAACAAGGTGTAGAGCTGTATGAACACAGCAGACCAAGCAGCATCAGAGGAGCAGGAAGGCTGACGATTCGGGCCTAGACCCTTCTTCAGAAAAATTTTCTGCTGTGTTCATCCAGCTCTACACCTTGTTATCTCAGATTCTCCAGCATCTGCAGTTCCTACTATCTCTGATACATTATAACAATAATTACTATTGAAGACAAGTCATTACTCAAATCCACACGGTATTCGAGAATGGGATTCTGTCTGCAATTTTTTTAAACTCTAAATATACTATTCTCAAGTTCACATGACTCTAGTTCGATAGAGGTATATACAGAATCCAGTGTATTGGACCTGTGGTTACTCACAGGTTGATGGTCCTCTCCAGGGTTAGCGGCTTTGCCTGCAAGTACTTATTCCCATATTGAGAGACTCCGCGGGGCCAGCCCGCCTGCGAGCGGCTCGGCGGAACCACAGACATAGCAACAAGCTGATGAAAGGCACGGGCCGCAGTGCAGCACCGGGAATGGGTTCTCTCTCTCTCTCTCACACACACACACACACACACACAGGGATTAACAAGGCCGCCTTCGCGCTTTAACCCGAAATCTACGTTTCCAGGTCAGGGAACACTTCCGGGTCAGGGAAAAGCGCTCGGTAGGGGGCAGTATCACAGGAGTGGGCGTCCGGCCAGTCTGAGGGGGAAGGTCTGTCTTGTTTCTAAGTGGCCGAGATGTCCGTGCTGACAGAAGCATGTCCGGGAAGTCGCTGAAAGGAAATTTTTTAAAAAATGCTGGCGATCATAGCGCCTCAAGCAGCATCCATGGAGATAAAGCAAGCTAACGTTTCGAGTCTAGATGACTCCTCATCTGAGCTGAAGTCAAGTGGGGGGGGGGGAAGACAGCAACTACGCAGCAGTTGGGGAGGAGTTTGGAGTGTAGAGTAGGTCTCATTTTCGTAGCTTATCATTCGAAATGCAGGCTTTTGTTCAGTGAGGGTTTGGCACATTCAGATGAAGCTGCAACCCTTTATTCTGGGATAAGATCTCTTCGCAGGATCAATGCAGTCCTGGTAGAGAGGCTGCGTTATCGCAGTGATATCGTGCAGGTTAAATTTTAAACCACAACTTGTCACAGGCGAAGTTTAAAAAAAAGTTTCATGGTTATATCTCAAAGAACATATATAATACATGTTCCAAGATTTTTAAAAAAAAATCTGTGCTGAGTCAAACAAAACTATAAAACTAACAACTCATTTAGTCAGGAAAAAAAAACAGAAGTTGCTGGAAAAGCTTAGCAGATCTGGCAGCATCTGTGAAGAAAAGTCAGAGTTAACATTTTGGGTCAGGTGACCCTTCGTCAGACAGACTATTATTTAAAGTGAACAAAATCTCAACATTAAATCTGTGCTTGAACTTTGGGACACCCAAAAAAGTTGTGAAACTGCAGGGACAACAGGCAAGCACCCAGGACCAACGTCAACACATTATAATGATAATTATTACTGAAGGCATGTCATTACTCAGATCCACACCGTGTTCAACATAGAGATTCTATCTGCAACAGAAGGGTCAACGGACCCGAAACATTAATTGTGATTTTTCTTCACAAATGCTGCCAGACCTGCTGAACTTTTCCAGCAACTTCTGGTTTTGTTC